AAAAAAAAAAAAAAAAAAAAATCTCTTAGCCAATCACGTCTTGCGCGCGCCTTTTCAAATCGATCAAAAGAAAGCCAGTTTCGAATGCCCAAAATTAAAAATTTATTCAGCAATTAAGATCTATCGCTGCAATTAAGGTAGACCCCTGCAGTAACTGATGTTCTATTCTGCCGAGAAACGGCCTGAGTCGGTAGAGGCCAGAGAGGGTTGAAACAGCGGCGGTTGAGGGGGCGGGTGGGAGGAAGAAGCCGACTTCGGGCTGAAGGCCCGGAGGTCACGCGACCGGAAAGCGGCCGCCGCTCCCAATCGGTGCCCCGCGAGCCGTGCGGGACAGACGCCGGGCCCAATCAGAGCGGGGCTCGCGTGATATATACGGGTGGCGGGGCGCCCTCCCGCCCGCATCGGCCTGTGCTCTCGGGAGGTCGCGATGGCTCGCACGAAGCAGACGGCGCGCAAGTCCACGGGCGGGAAGGCCCCGCGCAAGCAGCTGGCCACCAAGGCGGCCCGCAAGAGCGCGCCGGCCACCGGCGGCGTCAAGAAGCCGCACCGCTACCGGCCCGGCACGGTGGCGCTGCGCGAGATCCGCCGCTACCAGAAGTCCACGGAGCTGCTGATCCGCAAGCTGCCCTTCCAGCGCCTGGTGCGCGAGATCGCGCAGGACTTCAAGACCGACCTGCGCTTCCAGAGCTCGGCCGTCATGGCGCTGCAGGAGGCGTGCGAGGCCTACCTGGTGGGGCTGTTCGAGGACACCAACCTGTGCGCCATCCACGCCAAGCGCGTCACCATCATGCCCAAGGACATCCAGCTGGCGCGCCGCATCCGCGGGGAGCGGGCCTGAGCTCCGCCACTGGCGGCTTGAAACCCAAAGGCTCTTTTCAGAGCCACTTCCGTCCTCACAGACAGGAGCTGTTACACTCGCCGCCCTCTTGGCTGTTATGAACGCGGTCAGGGCACAGCTGTGGAAAGTGGGGGAAAGTTACTCTGCCCGTTTCGTCTTCTCAAGAAAAATAGGTGTAAATGTCATTGCAAGGCCTCCCCTGGGTCCCTTTATAGTAGCTACTCGGAGAAACTGTTGCTTAGCGGTGGTTACAAAGGCCACGATGTCTCGGCGATAGTACCACTTGGACCACTGAGAATCCAGGTGAAGGATCCCGCCCTCTGGTAAGTTCCTCTGCCAACTAAGAAAGGTGGGGCTCATAGCATCACATTTCCCCGCTTTGGATCTGAACCGTCTGGCATCAGTTCTGGTTAGGTCTGTTCTCTGACGCGTCCAAGGAGGCTGGTATTTCCAGAGAATTTTTGTTGAGTTACCTTTCCCATAGTTTAGCAGCAGCACCTGGTAACCCTTCAAGACAAAGGTCTTAGTGTTACTTTCCTTCACACCCACTCCATGATCCTATATGAAATTAGCGAAGTAGCCCTGTCACATTTACTAGCTTTCTGGAGCCTGGTAATGGAGAGCAGCATGAGGAGCAGACACAGGTCGGTGCCAGCCACCAACACCTGCGGATGGGCCCTGGAGGTCAATCATCTGACATACTGGTGACTCCCCTAAAGTGGAAGCCTTAGTGAGGCCATTTAGGGGCAGTGATTCCCCCAGCCCCGCGGAGGACCTCCCTGTGACTCCTCATGCCTTACATAGTGACTGCAGGGCCCATGTATGTCAACACACGCACACATGAAATAATAGCTTCAGGAATGTTCCCCTCGACTCTGTGCGAACCTACATTTTAAAACTTTAATAAATATTGCCCCTTCTCTCTCCCCACAGAATATCGTGCCATAGGAAAGGCTGAAGACTTGTTTTGTTCTCTGCTGTTGTAACCCCAGAGCAGAAAAGGCCTGACAGGCAGCGGGCGCTCCTTACATTCCAGTTGAATGAGAGTGTTGCTGCTTTGCTGTCTTTTAGGCCAGAGGTAGCTCCCACTCAGCCTCAGGCATCCGCAGGGTTTCCCACCTCCTGCCTTCCTCGTTCCTTCCCACATGCTTTTTGTCACTACTCTTACATGGTGAGTACGTAGAATACTGACAACAATTATGTAAACTTTTACAGTTTTCAAAGTATTTTCACTTGTTTTGTGTGTGTGATCCTGACCACAGCCTTCGGGGCTCAGACAGGGCATCGTTACTTCCTCTCTAGGTCTAGAAAAGTTTGTCCTTTCCAAAGGGACTTGAGTATTAGGGGCAAAGTCAGCAGAACTCTGTGCAGAAATCTTTCAGCACGCCTAAGGAGGGAAGGCAGAGGTTGGAATCAGCCTCCTATGGCTGTAAGAAAATAAAGGAGAATGAGTTTCTAGTAGTTGCTGTTGTTTTTAAGCAGGGACAAAGGAGCCTCTTTTCCTTTAAGGGGAAAGGCAGAGTTTGGGCCTAGCAAAGGTGCTTTTAGGAAATGTGCAAAAACTCTTTGATACCCTCTCAATCTTCTCTTTTGTCCAAAAATGCGACACATGCCCAATGTCCCTCACTGTCTTTGGAATTTTCATGCTTATGTGAATTTCCCATGGGCATGTATTAAAAGATTGACTTTCTCCTGCCAATTTGTGTCTGTTAACTTGATGATTAGCCCAGCTAATAGAACTTAGAAGATGGGAAGAAAATTATTAGTTTTTTAAACCTCCACCTTGTGGACGTTTTAACATCAACCTTTCCTATCCATGAGCAGGGTGCATCCTTCCATTTATTTGTGTCTTCTTCAATTGTTTCCTTCAATGTCTTACAGTTTCCTGAGTACAGCTCTTTTATTACCTTCGTTAGATTATTCCTAGATGTTTTATTCTTTTTGACACAATCATAAGTGGGATTGTTTTCTTACTTTCTCTGAGTTATTGGTGTATAAAAATGAAGCTGACTTCTGAATATTAATTTTGTATCCTGCTACTTTACTGAATTCATTTATGAATTTTAATAGTTTTGGTGAAATCTTTAGGGTTCTCTCTATACAGTATCATATCATCTGCAGGTAATGGCAGTTTTACATCTTCCTTTCCAATTGGCATGTCTTTTTCTCCTGTTTGTTGTGGCTAAGACTTTCCGTTCTATGCTGAATAAAAGCGAAAGTGGAATCCTTGTCTTGTTCCTGATCTTAAATAGCTTTCAGCACTTCATCTAGTTGAGAATGATAACTGAGGGCTTGTCTTATCTGGTCATTAGACGTTTTCTAAACCAAGGGGTGTAATTAAGCTCCGCCCTTTCCGTTTTCCTGGAAATGTGTGCTTGGGGCCTGCAGAGTTCCCAAACAGGTCCGCGGCGCCACTATATAAAACGCTGCCTGCAAAGTCTGGTACTTCGTTTGTGTACCTGTTGCAAAAATGTCTGGTCGCGGCAAAGGCGGAAAGGGGCTCGGCAAGGGGGGCGCCAAGCGCCACCGCAAGGTGCTGCGCGACAACATCCAGGGCATCACCAAGCCCGCCATCCGGCGCCTGGCGCGGCGCGGCGGCGTCAAGCGCATCTCCGGGCTCATCTACGAGGAGACCCGCGGGGTGCTCAAGGTCTTCCTGGAGAACGTGATCCGGGACGCCGTCACCTACACGGAGCACGCCAAGCGCAAGACGGTCACGGCCATGGACGTGGTCTACGCGCTCAAGCGCCAGGGCCGCACGCTCTACGGCTTCGGGGGCTGAGTCTGAACCCCGGCTCGCTTTCTGCAGCAAAACCAAAGGCCCTTTTCAGGGCCGCCCACTCCCTCTCGGGAAGAGCTGTGCGTGGCGGTCGTGCTCGGGGTGTCTTGGCGTCGGGGTCTGTGTTTAATGTCAGCGCGGTCTTTACCTTCCTCATAACTCAGACCTGGGTGGTGACTCCGCCACCACAGGCGTTACCCAGACTGCGTAGTGACCCAGTAGCGGCGGCTTCTGCCAATCGGGCGGGAGACAGGTCTTATGTCGCTTACAGGCAGGAATAAGAAGCCCATGTTGTCCCAGCTCCCCAATGGAGGGCGAAGCTCCCGAATCCCCAGCTTCCTCTAGCGGCGTCGCTGCCCGCCCCCTTGTTCCCTGTAAGAGGCTCAAATACCGGCCGTAGTTCCGCCGAGGAGGCGGTTGGCAGTGACGCCGACCCTTGGAAGCGCCCCAGCCTAGATCTTAGTTCTTGGGTGCGGGCGGGATTTCTATAAATGTACAACTTATGGAGCCTGCTAGGGGCTGCTGACTTCTCAGAGGAACCCAGAGCCATTAAAATAAACCACGCTGCCAGCAAAACGCTGGGTGTCACTTTCTAACCTATTTGCCCCGAGCGGCGTCAGGAAGGGTCGGCACACGTGGTCCTTGCCCCCTCCTCCCCCCGCCCCCGCTCCCGCTGTCAGGCATCGTGCTGAGTGGTGTCACCTCCAAACCCGGTAGGCTTGGTTTTAAATGTAGCTAACTGGGCCTTGCTGGTTTCCATTCAGGCTGTGCCCCTCGCTAAGCCTGAGCTACGCAGTTTGTAAATTATCGTTCAACAGTCAGTGCTCTAATTCGGGTCTCTAACTTCCTCTGAACCCGAGGGCCTAAGTTTGCATGTGTGAAGAGAGCGCCCTCCTGCGGTGACAGGCTCTCCGGCGGCTCCTGCCGCCTGCCCCCGCCCTCTGCCTTCTAGCTCCCGCCGCCGCGTGTTTCGCGGGCTCCGCCTCCAGGCGCTGCCTCTACTGCCTCAGGGGCCGGAGTGCTCCGAGCCTACATATCAGCACCCAAAGTCCCATCTTGGTGCCACCCACGAAATCTAAGAGGCATGAAAGTTTTTTTCAGGTCAGCTACCTGAGTTCAGGTTAACATGGACTTTGCAAATTCGCTTAGGAACTTAAACTATATAACTTGCCACAAAAAGTGGGTTTTGGTACCACCCACACCTCTCTATCTCCAGCATGTCCTTCGCCTACTACAGTGGCCAAACTTTCGGTGACTCAAATCTACACCACTTGTTTTGATACTTTTAGTGAGAGCCGGGATCATTTGCTCGTGTCCATTACGTTGGCGCTAGTGTCAAGGGCAGAATAGGTAGGACACTGCCCAAATACCATCGTCATCTTTTACAGAAAAAGGGCCGACCCTTCCTCAAGAACAAGGTTTTTGAGCAGTTTTTAAGCACGCTCAAGTTTGAAACCAGCTCAGCACAAATTTGAAACCCTTCAACGCCTACAATCAATGCCACGGTTCCTTTTCAGCTTCATTAAACTATGTTTGTCAAGATTTCAATTCATGACTCCTTTTTGTTTAAAGCAGTGCACGGCATTTTCAGATTTTCAAGACAAAATTTTCTTAAGGATTTGTGATGCTTCCTAGCGATAAGCCAGTAAGATCGAAGTAGAGGCGGGAAAATACATCCTTTCTTTAGAGGATCAAACCGAGAACTAATTTGTTGGGGAGGGGAGGAGCAGGGCGGTGCCCGGGGTGCGATCCAATCGGGGCCCGGGGATCTCTATAAATAGTGGGATCGCTGGGTCTCTACCATTAGTTAAGTAGTTTCCTCTACTTAGCCATGGCTCGGACCAAGCAGACGGCGCGCAAGTCCACGGGCGGGAAGGCCCCGCGCAAGCAGCTGGCCACCAAGGCGGCCCGCAAGAGCGCGCCGGCCACCGGCGGCGTCAAGAAGCCGCACCGCTACCGGCCCGGCACGGTGGCGCTGCGCGAGATCCGCCGCTACCAGAAGTCCACGGAGCTGCTGATCCGCAAGCTGCCCTTCCAGCGCCTGGTGCGCGAGATCGCGCAGGACTTCAAGACCGACCTGCGCTTTCAGAGCTCGGCCGTCATGGCGCTGCAGGAGGCGTGCGAGGCCTACCTGGTGGGGCTGTTCGAGGACACCAACCTGTGCGCCATCCACGCCAAGCGCGTCACCATCATGCCCAAGGACATCCAGCTGGCGCGCCGCATCCGCGGGGAGAGGGCGTGAATTTTTATGACATTCTAAAATTAATACACCCCACTCCAAAAGGCTCTTTTCAGAGCCCCTCAATTCTGCTAAAAGATCTGTTGCTCCTGCAGAGAACACGGCAGTCACACGTGAAAGTTCGCATATTCCCACGAGTAGCAATCGTGGCTACATGGTGACAGCCTCACCACTGTATACTGAGTATGGGCGACGCCGGCAGGTTCTGTGTATCCTGTGAATCTCGCGCGGCAAAACCTGCCCGGTTTCGGCGCCGTGAGCATCCGTTTCTGTATAAGCGTTCTTTAAACGACTGTCATTTTAAAAAACTGGACATTCGGCTAACAAGCAACAGGATAAGGATTGCAAGAGGGTTTAGAATCTTGCTAGCTTTTCTGTTTTGGTGTAATGTTTACAAAGTATGCTCTGGGCTTTGCCTGAGTGACTGGGAACTGGGCCGTGATGACCTGAAGGCTGTCATTTGTAAAATGCACTCTCAATAGCTCTGAAAACCTATTGTTTGCCCAAGTGTTTTAATATGTGCTTGTCTGTAACATTGGAGTTTCATGATTTTTTTTTTTTTTTTCCAAATAGAGACTCAGACTAGGGATTAAATCTGAGATGTCATTTTAAAGCTGTTCCTTTTTTCCACATATACAATACTGGTTTTCCTGACCAAACTTGGCTCTATTTTGTCCAAAATCCCAGCTCTTAAAAGTTCTCTCATGTGCTTTTCAAATCTGACTATCAGTGCTGCTTACCTTGCGGGCACACGTCCTAACTACAGGAGTTAGCAGAGGTGTGTGAAGGCCATTTCCTCTGGAGTGTTTGCAGGCAGGTCCGCCACCTGGGCCTTCCTTGCCTTTCCAGTTTTGGGTTTGTTCTTCCAGAGCACTTCTATCTGAACTCTTGGCTCCTCGCAAAGCTTTTTGAAGTCCCAGAATTGATTCAGTATAAAGTCTGATGGAGCCAGAAGCCTCTTCCTACAGAGCAGTTTGGAGCTTGCTCCTTTAATGGCTGTCAGGTATGGAGATAGCATGATGTTGCCTCTCCGAGCTTCAGAGATTGTCCTCTTCCCCACCTTCTAGGATTTTCCATCGTTACAGACCCGAGACCAGGTGGTCTATGATCAAACCTCAGAGCTCCAGTTATCAACTGCATAACCTTTGGCAAGTTACCCATCTTTCTGAGCCTTAGCATGTATAGCTGTAAAATGTGGCAAATTAATTAAAATCTGTAGCGCATCCTCAGATTACTTCCTGGCATTTAGTAAATGCTCGGCGCACATTAGCTCTTATTGTTCTCTCCTGTCCCTTAAGCATGGAGGGTTTTCCCTCTGGATCTTGGAAAAGTTTGGGATTGGAACAATGGGAAATGGTGAGTTAGAACACTTTCTTGTTAAGATCTCTTTTTCTTTAGTTCTTGTTTTGCATCGTTCTGAAAGCGGCAGGCTTGTAGCAACACACCATGACCTATGTCTATGTGGATGAGTTTGAAACACAGCAAAAGGCCAGGTAGTAAATATTTTAGGTTTTGCTGGCCACATATGGACTCTGTCACATTTTTTCCTAACATAATCTAAAAATCTAAAACCCACTTTTACCTTGAAGGCCATACAAAAACAGGCCACTGACCATTATTTGGCCATTGTTAGCTATAGTTTCAACTCCAGAAACTGGAGAGAAGTGTGTTGGCTACTCCCCTACAGTGTTTCAGAGGGGACAACTAAGAACCGATGATTGTATTAGAGGTCAAAATCATCATTTAATCTCCCTTATCATCCAGGTTAGGCACAAAGTCCTGTCCATTCACCGCACTACCTTCCAAATAAATAGCAAACATCTCCATCCTCCATTCCAACCTCACGGGCCTTGACTCGGTTCCCTTAAATGTTGTTTTCCTGAATTTAGTTCTGGAAATTACCAATCTACCCTTCCTATAGTCAGTAACCAATTATTTTTCTAAATACAGATCCATCTTCACTTAAACACAGTAATATCCACATTGATGTCTCCTTTCTGCTTACAGAAGTGTTTGTGATGGTACAACTTGTTAAATGTTGACGAAGATAAGTTTGAATAAGAACACTAAGAAAAGCACCTTGACAAACGGACAGAGTCCCATAGCAGATAAACAGTTGTTTGTGCTTTTGAGAACTACGGCAATCCCTTGAATAATTTTTAGCAGGTTTCAGTTTTTCTCTAAAACATTATCTGAGCTACACATTTCTCATCCTTATTTTAATGGCTTTGCCTAGAAACTAAAGAGAGAATGCATCTCAATAAAAAAACATACGAAATTTAAGTTTGAATTTGAATCCAGGTCGTTGGGTCCTGAAACCAAAGCAATTTCTATTCCTCCTGCTGCAAGGTAGAAGTCACTGTGGCAGCTGAAGGTCTCTCTAAAGACATTGGCAGTGGACACTCCTAGGAAGCAGAACCCGTTTTTTAAGTAAAGTCTACATGGTTGATGTGGGGCTCTAGGCAACCAGCCACCAATGTGTTACTTGCTACAGTTAGAAACAAAGTTTATGCTGAAACCAAGAAGCCTAGTGTCTTTTCTCTCCAAAAAAATCAAAGACCAAACTTAGACACAAAGCCTTTTTAATACATTCACTTGATACTTTGTAGAAATTTATTGCAACATGCAGCTAAATAGCACGTTGCCCTAAACCGGGTAGATTCCTATGGAAAGCTGAAGGGATTTTAAAAAATATTTTTGATCTGTTGCGCGGGATTCATGAAAACTCAGACAAGTGTGTGAACCTGGAGGCTGTTTTCCACCTTTGCAGCTTCAAAGCATCAAATTATGTACTATTGTTTTCAGCATTTAATCAGGTTGGGGAGGCTAGGAAACACAGTTTGAGTCCAACGGGACAGTCGGCTGCCTGAGGGCGGTGGATCGGACGCCCCACCAATCACAGCGCAGCCCCGGCTTATAAAAGCCCGGGCCCGAGGCCGGCAGCACTGCGAACTTTCTCTTTGCATTTTGACTCTCTCCCTCTGGCATCTCCTCCCTTCGCCATGTCGGAAACCGCTCCTGCCGAGACGGCCGCCCCAGCGCCGGTGGAGAAGTCCCCGGCGAAGAAGAAGGCGGCCAAGAAGGCGGCGGGCGGGGGCGCGGCCAAACGCAAGGCGTCCGGGCCGCCGGTGTCCGAGCTCATCACCAAGGCCGTGGCCGCCTCCAAGGAGCGCAGCGGCGTGTCGCTGGCCGCGCTCAAGAAGGCGCTGGCGGCCGCCGGCTACGACGTGGAGAAGAACAACAGCCGCATCAAGCTGGGCCTCAAGAGCCTGGTGAGCAAGGGCACCCTGGTGCAGACCAAGGGCACCGGCGCCTCGGGCTCGTTCAAGCTCAACAAGAAGGCGGCCCCCGGCGAGGCCAAGCCCAAGGCCAAGAAGGCGGGCGCGGCCAAGCCCAGGAAGCCTGCAGGGTCTACCCCTAAGAAGCCCAAAAAGGCCGCAGGAGCCAAGAAAGCCGTGAAGAAGACCCCCAAGAAGGCGAAGAAGCCCGCGACCGCTGGCGTCAAGAAGGTGGCCAAAAGCCCGAAGAAGGCCAAGTCCGCTGCCAAGCCCAAGAAGGCGGCCAAGAGCCCGGCCAAGCCCAAGGCCGTGAAGCCCAAGGCGTCCAAGCCCAAAGCCGGGAAACCCAAGGCGGCCAAGCCCAAGGCTGCGAAGGCCAAGAAGGCGGCTCCGAAAAAGAAGTAGGAAGCTGGCCTTTTACAAAAGGCAACAAAACCCAAAGGCTCTTTTCAGAGCCACCCAGAGAACTCCGGAAGCAGCTGTACACTGCAGCCCTTAACGCTTTGACTGATGTTGCTATTGGCAAACGACCCCTCGCTTTCTAGTTTACCGTTTTCCAGTTTGCGGCTTTACTCTTTGTGGAGTTTAACTGGAAACGGACAAGTAAGCCTTGAGTAACAAATTACTATTAGCTTTTCGATGTGAGTCCTGAGTCCTTCCCGATCTGTAAGCTTAATTTAAAAAGCGCGCGCTCTTGGCGTTCTGACTCGTCAGTGTTCTTATTCAGCCTTTCGCCTCCTAGTGGACTTTATGTGCCTTACATTTCGCAGCAGGTTGAGCAGCCATGGGAAGTGAGGCTGGCTCCGCCCACTGTTGTGGAGGTAAAATTCAGACAGAACCTCAACATAAAAAGTGGCTCTCACTTCCTCAACCCTCTGGCAAGCTAGTGACATGATTTTCCTTTCACAATTCACACAAGTGAGGGAGTTAAGCACCCTAGTGCGCCAGCTGCTCTATGGAAACAGTTAAGTGGCCCTGAAAAGAGCCTTTGGTTTCGAATGCGTTGCTCTCCACTGCGGGTTTACTTGCCCTTGGCCTTGTGGTGGCTCTCGGTCTTCTTGGGCAGCAGCACGGCCTGGATGTTGGGCAGCACGCCGCCCTGCGCGATCGTGACCTTGCCCAGCAGCTTGTTGAGCTCCTCGTCGTTGCGGATGGCCAGCTGCAGGTGGCGCGGGATGATGCGCGTCTTCTTGTTGTCGCGCGCCGCGTTGCCCGCCAGCTCCAGGATCTCGGCCGTCAGGTACTCCAGCACGGCCGCCAGGTACACGGGCGCGCCGGCGCCCACCCGCTCGGCGTAGTTGCCCTTGCGGAGCAGGCGGTGCACGCGGCCCACGGGGAACTGCAGCCCGGCCCGCGACGAGCGCGTCTTGGCCTTGGCGCGCGCCTTGCCGCCCTGCTTCCCGCGTCCGGACATGATAGAGGGAACCGCTCGCCCGAGTGAGGTCTGACGCCGGCGCCCAGAGCGGCGCCCTTTATAGTGGGTGCTGGGCGCGAAAGTGAATCCGCGCCATTGGCGAAGAGTTCAAGCGCTTCCACTTAAGCCAATGGACTCCTGCGTTTGAAAAACGCCTCACTGACTGGACGACGTCGACAGGTGACGTTTCCAGGATTCACCACCAATCGGACGCGAGCTTATTCAGCGCGTCCTCTAAGAGGCTGCGAACCCAGAGGGCCCGCACTGTCCGTCTCGCTCGTCCTCGCTGTGGTGTCCCGTGTCCTCCGGCGGCTCCTCCCGACCATGCCCGAGCCCGCCAAGTCGGCGCCCGCCCCGAAGAAGGGCTCCAAGAAGGCGGTGACCAAGGCGCAGAAGAAGGACGGCAAGAAGCGCAAGCGCAGCCGCAAGGAGAGCTACTCGGTGTACGTGTACAAGGTGCTGAAGCAGGTGCACCCCGACACCGGCATCTCGTCCAAGGCCATGGGCATCATGAACTCGTTCGTCAACGACATCTTCGAGCGCATCGCGGGCGAGGCGTCGCGCCTGGCGCATTACAACAAGCGCTCGACCATCACGTCGCGGGAGATCCAGACGGCCGTGCGCCTGCTGCTGCCCGGGGAGCTGGCCAAGCACGCCGTGTCCGAGGGCACCAAGGCCGTCACCAAGTACACCAGCGCCAAGTAGACGCGCGTCCGGACGCCCTTTCTCTCGACTCCAAAGGCTCTTTTCAGAGCCACTCACGTTTTCCAGAGAGAACTGGCACTCATTTTATACTGCTTAAGAGGTAGGCAGCTGTAGTTTTAAATTTTATTTCTCAAATGTTTATTTTGTGCTGAACTCCCACGTTGTTTGTTTTTAAAAAGGAATTAAAGTGTTACAGACATCAAAAACCCAGAATGATACTTAAAATGATGTTTTCGTTCATTGCATGCTGATTACCCTCCAGCTGAGTAAATGAATTCGTTAGTGACTAGAAAACTTCAGATGCTTTTTAAGGTGGAAAAAGTTGCCTAGCTGTAGTGAGAATCATGTTCGCTGAATGTTAACCTCCGCAGCCTGCACCATTTTCAGCTCCCCTGCCCCATGCTGTATAAATACCACATAAAATGGCTTCAGGGAAACTCCTCAGCTTGTTTCGTAACGTCAGTGCTGGCATGTGCCTTCTGTGTACCTCTCTAGATCTATGTTTGCACAAAATAACTTAATGGTTTGAAATGACGGTGGGGGCGGGAAGTTTAGAAGCGAAGACAGTCACCCCTCTTGGTTAGGGATAAGCATCACTGCATCCCGCAGTTGAAATTTTCCTCCTGGTGCTTTCTGCCCACCTCCACCTCCACCTCCACCTCCCTCCTTGTGAAGTTCCACTGATGCACCTTGATCCTGCTTCCTGTTCTACACGCACATTTTCATGTTTCACCTCTTTCCAGGATGGCATCCCGTTCACTGCAATTTAAACAGTTTCAAAATTTTCTAGTGGGGGGGAGTTTAGACTATAGGTCAGGTTTTCTCTCTAAGTCAATGGCACATCTCATCTCTCCTTCCACCTCACCTTTTTTCCTTCTGTAACAAGGGGAAAATTCTAAGTGAAATGCAGTCTTTCCGAACTATGAAGGAGGGTGGCAGACGTCTTCCAAGAGCCGCGCTGTCTCCCAGCGTGTAGGCAGGCCTCTGAGAGCTGACACAGCTTTTCCAGGAATCAGTGTGGAAATACAAGTCCCGTGGATTCTAGACCATCAGATAAGATCTTAAGTCCCAACATCTTGACTGTTTTTTTCTAGCTACTACTCAGTCTTTTCCCATTAAAAGACAGGAGGCCTTAGATAGGCTATGGGAATAAAAGCACGAAATTTGGGGTAAATTTATGAGTTAAGGGAGCAAAGGACAGAGTTAAGAAGCCAAATCTGCAGACAAAGCCAGTGGCTGTATTCCCTCTGGCCTGGAAAAGGTGGCTGAGAACATAATTAGAATATTTATGGGGGCTTAATATTCACCCATTTCTTTACTACATCAATCAATATTGAATATAAAGTTAGGACTATCACTTATGCGGTGAAGAAATGAACTAATACTACTAGGCTCCCAAAGAGCAATTATTTCCTGGAATGCACCTTATGGCTATTCTTTATTCACATAATGATAATAAAGAAATGGCCACTCTCACTTGATCAGTTGTCTGTCCCTAGTTTCTCGCTCCTCTTGTATCCCGTATCCCGTGATTCCCAGCTTTAATCGTGCATCAGGATTGCTGGTGGAACTTTGTAAAAATACATATATATAGTCACTACCTCGCCCCGCCCCCAGAGATTCTGATTTAATTGATTAAAAGAGGTGCCTGGGCACCAGGGATATTTGAAATTCCCCCGGCGATGCTAGGAGGGTTGAGAGGCACAGTGTTCCATGCCAGGAGTGGGACGCAGCTTCTAAAGTGGCACCCAGGGTGCCCCCCTTTTGATCTATGTGTCCCCGTGGAGCCCTTCCCACACTGTTGCAGGCTTGATCAACAGGATGTGGCAGAAGAGATGGTAGGTCACTTCCAAGGTGAGAGAAGAGACTTCCGCCTTGATCGCTCCTACTCTCTCTCGGATCACTTGCTCCAGAGGAAGGATGCCAGCCTTGGGCATGAGTGACTCTACGGAGAGTCTCACATGGTGAACTGAGGCGTCCAGCCGATTACATCTGCATTGGGAGGGACCCTCTTCTTGGACCTTGTAGGCTCCAGTCCCAGTAAAGACTTCATTGACCACAACCTCAAGAGAGAGCTCAAACGAGACGCCCCCAGCTGATGCCTGGTCCTCACACTCTGTGAGGTAAGACATGTTTGCCATCTTAAGCTGCTGAGTTTTGGACTAATGCGTTACACAACATATTTAGTTGCTAATATACTAACTAAATCTTAACAATCTTTTCTTTCGTGGTCGAACTGCATTGCCCTCTTCCAAGAAACTTGCCCAGATTGCCACATTCCAGAATAATATTTATTCCCTCCAAAGTCCTATAGTAGTTAACATTAAGTATAGTTTAATATACTACATAATATTAATTACATGTTATATATAATAATATAATTTGTATTATATTCATAATATGTAATTATACATTTATATAACATACATAGATGTGTAATTTGTGTAGAAATAGAACAATCGCATTGTCGTTTACTGTTGTATGACGCTGCATTTATTATTTTATTCAGTATTATTCAAACTCAGTCATTTGAATTCCACTTTTACAATTTTTTTCTTCTGTGTCTGGGTGTAATCTAAACTATTATTTACTTAATATTTTTCTTTAAATATATTTTTTAGAACATGAAATCAATGTATTTTAAATAACAATGTTACATCATTGCCCTGGTGAAACGTCTCTACCTCTGACCATAAACAGAAAGTAACTGCAACAATATTTAAAAAAAGAAAAATGATCACATTCAATTCCAGCAATATGTTGTTGCTGTCTATTAGGTTGAGCTTGAGGCCTGCTCTTTGTTAGAAATTTGAAAAGGGGTAGGATGTGGGAGGAATAGCAAATTTTAGTGAAGCTTTAATGAACTGCTACTTAATCAGATTTAAGGAGAGTAAAAAAGAATATCTTTCCACTCTGTTTCAACATTTTAAACATCAGAGTCCACATATAAACAGTCCACATTAATTTCCTGTGCCCCTGTGGTACTTGATACAGAACTAGGAAAACATTGGTTTAATTAACGTACTATTTAATGGAACCACTATTATATGCCTAAGTCAGGAAATATGAAAATATATAACTCAGAGAAGCTCACATTGTGGTAGAACATTTATAAAGTCATCTTACTTTTATTTCTCAATCTGTTTAATAATTAACCGATGATTTTGTTGAAAGAAAAAATCTACATAATACCTTTTCATGGCAACTTTTATGCGTGCACCTCATCCAGGCCCAAAGAACATGTGAGGAATCAGTGTACACCATCTCATAAAGTCCTTCTGAGAAAACTAGGACCTCGCTATTGTCTCTATTTTGCAAACAATCAAGAGAATCACAGGCCCATTGAAGTACCCACAGTGCCCAGCCAGCAAGCGTGGAGTAGAGCATCAGTCTACTCATGTGACACAACTTGGAAAAATTGTCCGTTAGGATCAGATTTTCTCATCTATTTCTATGCTACAATCTGTTTCTTTCTGTTCTATAAATTGTTCATTAGGTAAAAATATTGACAAAAAATTACTTGGGGCAAATCATGTGAATTATTTGAGCTACCAGCTATACAGTCCAATGTGAAACAAAGTGACATTCTGGTTTGGATTAGCTCAAACCCAGTTTCCCAAGGCCAATCAGCAATGGCATAAATTAATCAAGATTAATTATGCCTGGCTCACCAAAGTGAAAATAACCCACGATATCTATCTCTGAGGGCTCTTTTTTTCCCTTCCTTTTAGGAATTTTAACTTTCTAAACATTGGAGTGTAATGGACCTGAAATGTGAGCCTTGTATAAAAGAACCACACGTTTCTCTCCATTCTGAAGATTTTAGCCACCCCCTCCTCCATATTCATCTAGATATCTTCCCTGCCGATAATTACCTGTCATCTGGGCAGTACACACACACACAAACACACACACACACACACCCCCAAGCGCGTGCACGCGTATGCACATTCTCCAGGCCAGGATATACATGTGCTTAGATAACTTACTGTCTAAACCATCTTCCCATTTCCTCTCTTGGATTTTCTCTGCTGATTCCCTCATTCTGTAAAACAAAACAATACCAGAACTAGCTGCCCCTTATCTTCATAGATGGATGAATAGACAGGATCAAAAGCACATGTGCTTTGAAAGATAGTGATTTTAAAAATGTATGCTTCACACACACACACACACACACACACACACACACACACCCCAAGCGCGCGCACGCGTATGCACATTCTCCAGGCCAGGATATATGTGCTTAGATAACTTACTGTCTAAACCATCTTCCCATTTCCTCTCTTGGATTTTATCTGCTGATTCCCTCATTCTGTAAAACAAAACAATACCAGAACTAGCTGCCACTTATCTTCATAGATGGATGAATAGACAGGATCAAAAGCACATGTGCTTTGAAAGATAGTGATTTTAAAAATGTATGTTGAATTTACTGTCCTCAAATGTCTTGAGAGATATGGTGGCAGGAGAGAAGATACATTAAAAATGTGTAATTTCTCTTCTTAATGATTCAAGGAGAGCTGTCACAAAGATTTTGTGAGAAGCTGAATGGACAGTTTACAAGAGCTGAAGGAGTTTGGCTGCTGATTTAATTGTGGTCCAAATCCTGAGTTTGCAGAATGTGTGTGCCCTTTTAACAGCCTCTATCAGTCTTTTTTTCCTACTCTCTAAAAGAAACTAATACTATCTAGAGAAATACTATCAGGTTTGGGGCTCTCATTTATGAGATTTCCTTATGACAGTAGTTGATGCTTGTAACTTGTTTTATGATAGTTATATTTACCTCTGAGCTTTTCTCCATTTTCTTGTCCTTCTATCACAAAGATATCCACTGCTTAATATTTTAAAACATTTATTCATGAAGCTATCTATTAAATAATATATGCTTAAATAATATATAATTGGGCTTTATTTTTGAAATGGTACCATGAACCTTCTGAGATTTATGTTTCTGAAATTCAACCGGTGCTGTGTATCTCAATCATTTTCTCTTCTCTGTGTTATCCCATTGTATAAATGCACCTCAATAAATGTATTTATTCATTTGGCCATGAACATATGCTTGCTTCTAGTACTTTGCTATTAAAAATAGCACTGGTCCATTCTTGTATGTCTCAGTTGCAATGTGTGCAGAATATTCTCATGAAAACACCTAGGAGTGAACTCGTGGAGGTACTGGAAGACTGTAATTGGATAAAGGGCATCATCAG